GGTTCTGTTTCTAAGCCTCAGCCCAAAGGAGCTCCTGCAGATGCATCCTGTGGTGGGCTGAGGCCAGGCTCCGGGACACTAACCTGCTGGGCAAATTCCTTCCTCTCCCCGAGTCACAGATACCTCATTTTTAACACAGTGACAATAACTCATACCTGGCAGAGCTATTGGGAGGATCAAATGGACAGTGTGTGTGCAAGTACTTTCCGCACTGCAGCCACTCCCTTGGCTCCTACAAAGGCAGACTGCTTACTGGTGAGGCACTAGGGCAGTGCAGCGTGAACGCACGTGGTCAGCCTCCAGCTGCACGCACTGATGGCAAAAGCACAAGCAAGTGCTTATCTCATGTACCGCAGGTGTTTTCACCTCCAAAATGAGGATGAGGCAATTGCCTCTTAGGAGACTTGGAGGATTAAATATGATCCTTTACACAAGGTTCTCAGATCAGCATCTGACCAAGATAAGCCTCAAAAGAATACAAGCCATTATTTTTATTATTTAGCATATGTTCCACAAGGGCAAGACAGTTGCTTTGTTCCTAGACCCTACTATGGTACGGGATACACAATAAATATTAAATCAATAGTTTCCCTGCCTGACCCATTCGTGTGTTCTACTCTAGGCAAAACCTTGTCCTCAGTTGCTTCTCAGCCAACATGACTCTGGAACGTGTCTCCGCTCTGCATTCATTTACATTCATTTGTGTTTCTCTCTTTTTTAATTTAATTTTATTTGCTATTATTTTTTTAATTTGACCAGAGAGAGAAAGAGGAAAAATGAGAAAGCAAGCCGCCAGGTTCAGGACTTGAACCCCAGTTGACCATTGGTAGTTCAGCACCCAACTGCCACACCTCCTGGCAGCCCTATTTGTGCTTCTCTTTAAACATGGTTTTCTGTTTAAAGAGGACTGTAGGTTGAACAAGGAGCCTAGAAGTTATGGTCCTCATAGCTAGGACCAGTTTTGGACAGTGTACAAGTCCATGCACTCCCATAGGTTGAACTGAGCTAGAGGAACGCCCTAGTCCAAACAGTGAGACCTTGCTGAGAGGCAGAGACAGCTGGCCTGTTACCATGGCCTGGGTTAGGAGGCACCGAGCTCTGTCTACAGCCTCGAACAGTCAGAGTGGGCCCTCAGCACAGGGACATTCCTAGCAGATCTGCCTTTCCCTGCAAAAACCGAAGCAAAATAAAAACTGCCATGGGAATTACTTGGCACCACACAGTAAAACAACTAAGCGAAGGAATTATCAGCTGAATTCAACAGTAATTACACTTCCCTGCTGAAGGCAAGAGACTTCTTTGTGTCCTGTAGTAGCACTAAACTTGGCCTAGGAAGACTCGAGGTCTGCTACATGACTTTTCTGAGCTTCAGTTTCCTTATCTGCAAAGGAGGGTAAGAATGTACACACGATTTCTTCCCTTGCTGACTGTGAAGATCATAATAAGATAGCAAAATTGGGCCTAGGAATTGCAGAGGGCTGCATAAGTTTAAAGATCACTGTGTTTTTGTTTTAGTCATGAGGAAGAATGTTAACAGTAACACCTCCAAGCCTCCCAGCACTGTTAGCTGCAGGAGGGCTCCCACTACATTCCCCCTCCAAGCACAGGTTCTAGCACTGTGGATGCTTAACAAATACCCGATACTGAAAGAATTAGTGGTACTGCCAGCATTTCCATATTCCTAGTCCTTGGGACCCCTGGAAACAGCATTTCTTGAAGTGAGAAAAGTGTGACTTAACGTTTCAGATCTGGGTTCAAATCCGGCCCACTTAAGAGCTGTTTAAGGCTAATCAGTGAAAGATTGAATGTTCCTGTCCTCATCAGGAAGCTGTAAGTGATGGGCGTTCATTATACCAAGAAGCTGAGAAGGGAAATAATGAGAACATATGTAAAAGTTAGTGTTACGATTCTGTCTCCACTGCCCACAGTCCAAGAAAAGTTAGAGGGGCTAGCAGGTGGTGTGGTGGTTAAGGCACTGGCCCTCCACATGTTCGACTGTGGTTTGAGTCCCAAACCTGGAGGTTTGCTTTCTCGCTTTCCCTTTCTCTCTCTAGCCAAATTAAGTAATAGTAGTAGTAATAATAATAAATGGAAATAAATAAATAGTTCTTTAAAAAAAAAAAAAAAAGCTAAAACCATCAAAATTCTTTATTCCAGGAATAATAAATGGTGTAAGGGTTACATCACTGGACATCCACACAGCCAACAGCAGTTGGAGTCCTGAACCTAGTGGCTTGAAATTCATGCTGGGCACAAGTACAAGCATGCCCAAAATCCCAAGAGGAGAATGGATAAGAGGGGATTGCAGCATGGCCATCCTCCCTAGGGGTTGATTTCTCACTTTCTGTCTCTCAGTCTCTGTCTGTCTGGTAAGCACACACACCCTGTAACAAAAATCTCCCTTAAAAAAGAAAATCTTGGGACCAGCAGTCAGCATAATGGCTATGTCACTGAACTCCCATGTACTCAACCGCGGTTCGAGACCCGGACACGGTAGCTTAAACTCACGCCAGGTGCGTGTGCGTGCATGCCCAAGATCCCAAGAGGAAAATGGAGAAGGGATTGCATCATGGCCATCCCCCCTGGGGGGGGGTGATTTCTCACTTTCTGTCTCTCTGTCTCTCTCTGTCTTTCTGGCAAGCACACACATCCTATAGCAAAAACTTCTCCAAAGAGAAAAGAAAATCTTTATTCCAATTTTACAAGAGGAAACCAAAAAGCAAAAAATGCAATGACTTGCAAGGTTACCAAGCTCAGACGCACTCCTTTAAGTGCTCGTCACCTGGGGCACAGGTGTCTGGGGTGACATCACAGCATGGGCATGGACCCCAGCAGAGGCCTGTGTCTGCTCTTCTGCTGGACTATGCAAACAGTCCCCTCTCCCGATTGCCTCCCTCCCTCAGGCTGTATTAGGGACTGTAACTGTAACTCTCCTACTTTTTTATCTTTATAGATTTGGTACCTGATAAAAAGAGTTTTTAATGTTTTATGTCTGAACATAAATTAGAAAATGTAGCTATTATCCCTGTTTTTTTGTTTTTTTTTTTAATTTTTGTTTGTTTTGTTTTTACTAGAGGGCGAGTGCATTCACAAGAAAGAGGCGAAGAGAGGGAAAGTGAGAAAGCACTCCCCATGGGGAATGATCACACCACAATCTCTTCTCTATTTCCCCTTTTGAGATTTTGGGCATGCATACACAAGAACCCAACATGTTTTAGTAAGTTTTGTAAACTGCCAGGTCCAGGATTTGAACCATATTGCTGGCCAGGTGGGATCCAGCTGCCTTAACCACCATGCCACCAGTTGTCCTAATGAGTCTTCATTTTAATTGTCATAATCTTATCTTTTTTTTTCCACTGTAGTAAGTAGGAAAATACTGAAGCACATACCCATGCTGTTTCTCTAAAGACCAAAGCACTTGGATTCCTCATAGCTCATTATATTTTCTTAGCAATGCGCTAATTACCTCTACTCAAGCCATGTGCTCCTCTTCCAGCTCAGGAACATCTACACTGAAAAGTTTCTGCTGTAGAAAACAGTAGACTGGGATAGGGCTGATTAGAAAAGGAGCCCCTTGGGGCCAGCAAGTGGTATGATGATTAAGGTGCTGGACTCCCCCATGTTCGATCATGGTTCAAGTCCTGGGCTCAGTGGCTTGAAACTTAGGCTGGGTGCATGCATGTGTATGTGTGCATGCCCAAAATCACAGGAGAAGAATGGAGAAGAGATTGTGGCATGGCCATTTTCCTGGGGTGTGTAGGGGGTGACTTCCTACATTCTCTCTCCCTCCCCCTGGCCAGTGTATGTATCCTAGAGCAAAAACCTGAAAAGGAAAGGAGCTTCATTTGAGAAAAAGAACCATGATGCCAACCATCAAAATTCCTTCTTGGTCTATCACAGCAGAGAGGTGTGGTCATAACAAAACCTGGCATCAAACCAGGTAGGAACTTATCTAAATAACTGCACAAGCATGCTTTGGTGGGACATATGCAACTTTCCAAGGCTGGGAGCCATGTGAAGCATTTTAAGTGGCTTCCTTATTTCTGAACGTACACAGGGTTCCCCTCATCACAATCTGGGGCACTCAAGTGTTATCATAATGTGGTTACTATAATATGCTAGGTATTCGGCATTTCTTAACTTTGAGTCTCGCAAGAGCCTATAATAAAGGAATTGTTGTGTCTCCACCTTATAGATATGAAAAACAAGGTTTGAAAAAATTGAAGTAGCTTAAAATTAACTTACCGAAGGTCTTACAGCCGGTAAACGGTAGAGTTAGAACACGAATGTAGGTCTCTCTGGCCGTAAAGGCTTGTGTTCTAACTATCTTGTGCTGTCTCTAGTGGATCAGATTGTGCTCTTTCCCACACTGCATTTCAGAAAGAAAGGCAACTTCAAATAAGAACAGAGAGTCCAGCTTCGAGCAAAGAATCTGATGAGCAATGTCCAAGGGTCCTACCCACGCTGAGAGTCAAAGACAAGGTAATGTCACCATGTGGGTGCTTGCAATCACAGAAGTCCTCTGCAAAGACAAACTTGAAAGTTGCTCTGGTTCTCAGCTTGTAGGGGCTTCTGATGGCTTGTTTCTGTGTTTGCCACCTACTCACCTCTGTATCCCATCCCCAGTGAAAAATGCACCAAACCGTGCAGCCATCATACACCAGCTTTCTAGAAGGCAGAAGGAGGTCGTCTATGTCACAGTAGAGTGGAGGTAAGAGTGAACCTCCTAGCCTAGAGGGGAGCAGTAGATGATTCCTGCCTAAAACCTGGCTGGAACAGTGTCTGCTCTTAATTTACGAGGACCAGCAGATAGTGAAATGGTTACATCGCTATGTCTGCTCTTAATTTACAGGAACCAGCAGATAGTGAAATGGTTATATCGCTGGACTCACTCGTAGCCGACCTCTGTTTGAGTTCTGGATCCAACACTCATAGCCGACCTCTGTTTGAGTTCTGGATCCAACGGCTTAAAACTCACACCACGCACATGTGCATGTGTAACCAAGATGCCTAGAGAATGGAGAAAGGATTGCAGTGTGGCCATTTGGCCATGCCCCCCCAGGGCGGGGGGGGGTGACTTCTCCCCTTCTGTCTCTCTTTTTAGTCCATGCCCTATAGCAAAAATCTCTCTAAAAAAATTTAAAAATGTATGTATTCCTTATAAAAATCCTTGAAGGATGGTACCATTACTGGCCTCATTTTACAAACCTCTGTTGACAAATGAAGAAAACTGGGGTGTGAAAGGGTGATACAACTTGTCTAAGCGAAAGGGCAGAGCTAAGTTTCAAGCCCAGGTGCTCTGGCTCCAAGCGCTTATCCTTTTTCTTTTTCCTAACTTATTTATTTACTAAGAATTATTTATTTAACTTTATTATTATTACTATTTTAACTTTACTATTATTATTTTTTTTAATTTGCAATAGGGCACATGTGCTCACCAGACAGCGAGAGACAGAGTAAAAGTGATAAATCAAGCCACCAGTTCCAGGACTCAAACCACAGTCAGCCATGTGAGAATCCAACACCTTAACCACCACACCACCTGCTGGCCCCCTCTTTTTATTTATTTTTTAATAATTTCTTCTTAATTGTGGCACATATCTGTGAGGTATGGTGTGGTTTTTCAAATCATGCATATAGGATATGATAATCAAATCAAGGATATTAACATATTCATCATCTTCAACAAAGAACATTCCATTATATTTGTGTACCTTTGGTATTTGTTCTACTAGGGCTTTTTTTTTCTTTTTCTTTTTTTGGTAGGGAAGAATAAATATATAAGATTGGCAACATCCTCTTTTACTGTGGTGTGAGACACCATTTCATAATCTATTCACTTGGCTTATATGCCTTCAGTCTCTAGAATCTACCACTGCCCTCTTTACTTCCCTGCTACTGTGTCTTTCAGGTTCTACCATGAAGTGTGGACATTCAGTTTATGTTAAGTGGACAGGACTATACAGTATTCATCTTTTTAGCCTAGTTTATTTCACTCAGCATTACATTGGAAAAGTCAGGATTGTTTTCTATCCAAAAAAGTGTCATGACTTTTCTGACAACCCAGTACCTTCTAGATTCATCTATTTTGTATCAAATGACAGGATCTTACTATTCTTATGGCTGAGTAGTATTCTATTGTGTATATATATGCCATATTGTCCCAATCCATTCATTGGTTGTGGGCATTTAGACCAATTCTAGGTCTTAGCTATTGTGAATAATGCTGCAGTAAACATGGATGTACAGATGTCTCTCCCAATTAGTGATTTCCTACCATTGAGTTAATACCCAAGAGTAGAATTATTGGGTCTATTTTTAAAATTTTTAGGAACTTCCATGTTGCTTTCCATAGTGGCTATACTAACTTACATTCCCACCAGCAGTACTTAAGGATTCTCTTTTCTCTGCAATCTCACGAGCAGTTGTTATTCTTTGTTTTTGTTTTTGAATCATAATGTCTTATCCCCTAGTTATCAGACTAAAGAATGCAAGGGCCTACTCAGACATAACTGTAGCAAATAGGGTACAATGAGAAAAACCAGAGCTCAAGTTCCAGTATGGATGATCTGGGATAGAGACAAATAGAAAAACAGGAAATCGACAAAGTATAGACTAGGAGTCCCCAAAGTATTTTCTGTAAAGCACAAGTTCTCAAGGATAATGAGTATTCAGCAAAAGAGGGGTATTGGGGGTGGGGTAGGGCAGCAGATGGCATAGCAATTTTGTTGCTGGACTCACACATAGGTGACTGCATTTGAGTCCTGGGCCTGGTGGCTTGAGAAATCACTCAGGCATGTGTTCATGCGTACTCAAGATCTCAGCAGGAGAATGAGGAGAAGGGATTGCAGCATGGCCATCCCCCGGGGAAAGGGGTGATTTCTCACTTTCCCTCTCACTGTTCTGTCCTCTCTCTCGCCGATGAGCATGCTCATCCTAAGGCAAAGACCTCTAAAGGTATTTTTAACAAATAAAAAAAGAGGGATACTGGGGGGTTGTTCTCAAATGAGTTTAAGAAATGTTCTGTTAAATATCAGATCATCAGGAAAGTCATTACGTGTGACAACCCAATAGAATGGCAGCTGTTCCCAGAGCCTTTAATATGAAAATGTGCACGCTATGAATCAAGGAGTTCTTTGGGGGAGTGGAGGGCATAGAGAGAAATGCAACAGAGAGGGAAACACAACACAACACAACAATATCCCTTCACTCTAAGTTCCACTGCTATGAGGGTGAGTGCACTTGGGTGAAATGCTATTAGCCTTTAGTTCTCAATTTTCCCATCCTTCAAAATTAGTGTCAGACCAGATTATCTCTGAGGTTCATTCTAAATCTGCTTTCTGTAGGTTTATTACACCTGACAGTGGTGATTTGTGGATTTCCCTATAACAAAAAAATAAAAATATAAAATAGTCTGGCTATTTCCAAAGAAGCAGCAATTCCCAAGTGCCTATTCTGCCTCAAAGCCAAAGAACAAACTTTGACCTGATCTCATAATCTTTCATCTAAAGGGACATCTTAAGACAAGAGTGAGCCGCCGGGCACATGTGCGTACATGCCCAAGATCCCAAGAGGAGAATGGAGGAGAAGGGATTGTGGCATGGCCATCCCCCCCTGGGGGGTGATTTCTCACTTTCTGTCTCTCTGCCTCTCTCTGTCTGCCTGGTGAGCGCGCATGCCCTCTAGCAAAAACCTCTCCAAAAAAAAAAAGATGAGAGTGAGCCAAAGACAAAAGGCCCAGAATGCTGAGGCTACACATAGCCACTGGAGCTCTGGAGAAAGCCACTGCAGCTCTCTGCCTCTAAGAATAAGATGAGAACTGTCTCCCAGCACTGAAGGAAGAAAGCTGGGATCCATGAGACCTGGGCATGGAAAGCTGTAAACATCTCTCTCCCAAGAACCCTTCTAACCTCTATGATCTGGGTCATGGGGCCATTCTGGATATTTCCATAACATCCCACTCTTACAGCCATCACAAGATATATTGCAATATTTTTAACTTTTTATCATGAAAATGTCCAAACACCTAAAAATATAAACTAGGGACCAGCAGTTAGTGTAATGGCTACGTCGCAGGACTCCCATGTAGTCGACCACGGTTCGAGTCCCGGATCCGGCAGCTTAAACTCACACTGGGCATGTGTGCTTGCATGCCCAAGATCCTGAGAGGAGAATGGAGGAGAAGGGATTGCGGCGTGGCCATCCCCCCGGGGGGTGATTTCTCACTTTCTGTCTCTCTGTCTCTCTCTTTCTCATGAGCACACACGCCCTATAGCAAAAACCTCTCCAAAAAAAGAAATAAATAAATAAAAAGTAAAAATATAAACTAGTAGTGTAATGGATTTCCATGTTCCAATCACTCGGATTCGACCATTATGAATTCATGGCCAATCTTGCTTCATTTTTATCTCCGAATCATTCATGTTCTTCTCCACTATATTATTTTTAAGCAAATCCCAAACATCAAACCATTTCATCACATTATTTCATACATACAAATCATAGATATGTTAAAAAGAGAAGGACTGTATGTAATATAATCATTATCCTCATAAGAGAAAATTAGAAATAATTTCTTAATCATCAAATATCCTGTAAGTGTTCAAATTTCTAACCGTTTCATAAGTATCCCCTTTTTTTGCACTGGTTGAATCAGGAATCCAAGCAAATTTTGTACATTCTAATGTGTTGCTGTGTCTAAATCCGTATATCCCATCTCCACCAATCCCAGAGACTGAGGAGGCTGAGATGGAAGATCGCAAGCTTGAAGTTGGCCTAGGCAACATAGCAAGACTGTCTGAAAAAGAGTCAGTTACGTTAGTGAGTGCAGAGCCTGTAGTCCCTACTGGGAGGCTGAGTGAGGCAGGAGGATCACGACATGGTGAGACCCTGGCTTTAAAAAAAAAAAAAAAAGAAAGAAAAAGAAAACACGCAATTGAATGACAGTTTTGTTTAAGAGTGCCTTTCAGGGGCCAGCAGATGGCACAGTAGTACAAGGTACTGGACACCCATACTGCAGTCAGCAGTCAGCAGTTCAAGTCCCAGACCCAATGGCTTGAGAAGCATGTCTGACGTGTGTGTGTGTGTGTGTGTATGCACGCACGCTTGCCCAAAATCACAAAAGGAAAATGGACTAAAATAGATTGTTGCATAGCAATCCCCCCTAGGGGATGAGTTCTCACATTCCTTCTCACTCTCTCTCTCTGGCAAGCATGCATGCCCTGTAGCAAAATAATAATAACAAATTTTAAAAGAGTGCACTTCAAAATGTTTTTTTATATTCTTTTATTATTTATTTCTGATTTAATTATACTGAGATCAGAGAAATGGTCCTAGCTATTTACTCTTTGACATATGATGAAGGTTTCTTTACTCTTCCTTTTTGTTTCCTTTTGTTAGGTTTTTGCCATAG